TAGGAGCGGCCAGCCCTCCCTCCCACCGCCGGCCCGCGCCAGCCTTTCCCACAGTCCCCTCCCCAGCCCCTTTCCCCTCCTCCGCCAGACTCACCCCTCCTCCCGGCTCCCTGATGGCCTCCTTCGGGGCGCTCGCTACTCCGGACCCTCCAGTCGGTGGTGCTCCAGCCCCCGCGCCTCTCCCCGGCGAGGCGCCCCCTGCCCTGCCGTCACCCCAGTCCTGGTTCGCTGCCTGCCGACTCCGCTCTTCTCCTCCCAGACTCCAAGAGGAAACCAGTTGTTCGGGGGCCAAGAGCTCCCGGACCGGGAAATAGCTGGGAAATAACTCGTGGTGTCGCCCGGCGGCCGGCCAAAGTTTAGGGGGAGAAAGGAGGGGTAGAAAGACTTGAGCTGGGCACAGAGAGGCAGAGCTTCGAGAGACGGACACACAGGGCACCTCCTGTTCCCGGGGCCGGAGGAGAGGCGGGGCAGTGGCAGAGACCAAGGACCAGACCCCATTTCAGGGAGATGAGGGTGGAGAGTTCTAGAGGCAGACAGCCAGTTGGATCCCTAAGGCCTAGGACAGGGCCTGCCACATGAGTAGATGCTCAGTACATTTCTGTTGAATCAAGGAAAAGGTCAGAAGGCAGGCGATAGAGAAGCTGAAAAAGCAGATGGAAAGGGGAAGAGGCAGAAGGCGGGAAGTCTGGGTCAGAGGCCTGGATGGAAAGCGGTCTCGATTGTCCAGTGGCACAGTGTGGGGCCAGTCAGCAGCCTGGGGCCAGTAAGGGGACAGGAAGGTGCAGGGAGGGTCCCATGAGCCCCAGCTGAGGACTTCTCCTCCCCCTCCCTGGGAGCCCCAGAGAAGATAGTTAGAGACCCTGCTGGTGCCCCTTCCTTTTTCCCCTGTGTGCCAGTCCTGACGGGCAAAAGAGGACGGGCAGAAAGAGGGCAGGGGCTGGCTTCAGGGTCAGGGCTGGGAGCAAGCTTCCAGACCAGCTGCCTCTGGCAGTCTGTTGCAGTTGAAGGGCCAGGGGGTGCCCAGTAGTGCCAGGCCAGACTGGCACTGGTGCTCTGCTTCCTGGCAGACAGAGCGGCAAGGGGGCAGAACACTGCCTAGTGGGGTGCAACGGGGCACAAGCAGCCCACACAGGAGCCTCCGGAAATTCTGGTAGCAGGGCAGGCTTGTCAGGCTCTGCGGAGGGACAGCGGCCTTTAGGCACCTGCTCCCAAGCTCCCTCCCCTCCCAGGCCTGCCCTCCTTCCCTCCACCCAGAAGACCTTGTAACCGCTGAGGACTTCTACCACCTCCTCCTGAGTGGCCATGCCCACCCAGATGTTAGGGAAGGCCGTGGTGTTGTAGCTCAGACCGAGGCACATCTCCACCTGGACAGGCTCACAGGCCAGCTCTGCAGGGGTGGAGGGGAAGGCCACTGTGGGGACTGCTCACTGGCTGTGTGGCCTGTGGCAAGTCACCGAATCACTTGGTCCTGTGTGTACGTGGGTCCAATGGGGGTGGTTGTGAGGAAGCAAGGGGATAACAAGGAGGGAGGCTGTACACACACTGAGGATCCCTGCCATCCCTGAGAGCCTGCTCCAGCATCAGTTGCCAGCCCCGGGCATCACGCAGGCACGTCTTTGACCTCAGGGAACATGGGGCACCTGCGTTTGCAGGGACCGCTTGGGCATCTGGAAGAAACCCCCTGCTCTGTGTAAGAGGATGCCTTCATCTTACATGGGCTGTGGAAAGGGGCTCTGGGTGACAGAAGGGACTGGTTCTTGGAGTCCCACCACTGATTCCCAGATTCCCATTTCCCTTGGGGTGACACTCAGTGCCATTGCCACCACCAGCCGAGTGTCTTCCAGGACTCTGCGAAGTGGTCCCAGAGTCAGCTGGCCCCGCCCCCTCAGGGAGGATGGGATGGGATGGGACGCTATTCAGTACAGCAGCAGGGTTCTGTGAGGTGAGCACCCAGCCTATTCAGGGTCCCCAGGGGCAGGCTTCTCACCTGGGGGTGGGAACAAGGGGCGGCTGCAGTTGTCATCGCTGCCATCGGTGCAGTCTCTCCACATGTCACACATCCACTGCACACCCTTACACCCTCCTGCCTGGCAGGAGAGCTCACTGGGCCCACAGGGGTCTGCAGGCACAAGGGGCATGGCAGTGCCCGGGGACATACCTACACTCCCAGTACCCCCAGAGTGTCTTGACCAGGGTCCAGAACCCTTCTCTGTCCCCCTGGAGGTGCCTCTACTGCCCACACCCACTTGCCCAGGGGCACCTACTCTCCGTGGCATTGAAGGCCAGGTAGGTGGCTGAGAAGCCTCCACTGCTGATGCCATGATCTGTCCTAAAAAGCACAGCCAGCTCATGGTGTGAGGAGACGAGGTGGGGGGGTGGCACTGCTCCACAGAACCTGCCCAAAGCAGATAGCATTTCTGGGCACCAGCCCTGGCTGACTGAGGGGGCACTGCAGCCTCCCACAGGCCTGGCTCTGAGCTGGAGCCCTGGATGATGCCAAAGTTGATGGGAGACACAGGGTTAGGGTCTGGTGAGGAAGACACACATATTCAGCAGACAAAGCATTAAACAAACTGCTTGAACTTGAGCCACTTCGAGATGGGGAAAAATCAGCAGGGCAGCCTGGCGTTGTGGCTCACACCTGTCATCCTAGCATTTTGGGAAGCCAAGTCGGGAGGATCACTTGAGCCCAGGAGTTTGAAACCAGCCTGGGCGATATAGTAAGACCTTGTCTTTACAAAAAAAATTAAAAAAATAAATTATCTGGGCGTGGTGGCATGTGCCTGTGGTCCCAGCTACTTGGGAGGCTGAGGTGGAAGGAGCGCTTGAACCTGGAAGGTCAAGGCAGCAGTGAGTCATGATAGTGTTACTGCACTCCTGCCTGGGTGACAGAGTGAGATTCTGCCTCAAAAAAAGAAGAACAAGAAAAATCAATGAGGGTTTGTAAGGGAGGTGGAGGTGGCCCCTGCCGGTGGGGAGAAACTGGGGCAGGGAGAGGTTTGGGGAAGGACCTCCTGGGCACAGGGAGAGTGTGGGGTGAAGGTTTTGAGGTGAGAGCTGTCTTTAGGGTAATGGTGAAGAGACCCCCGGCCTAGAGTAGCAGAAGAAAGTGAAGCTGGGGAATGTGCTCCTGGCCGACACGGAAGGCGGGGGTGGCAGACTGTGAGGATGGAGTTATCCGTGGCTCTTCCCTGGCTCCTGTACCTGCCCAGGAGGCTGAAGGCCCCTGAGCTGCTGGTCTCATACACCTCCACGTAGTCAAACTTGCACTCATCCTGAGCCTCCAGGCTGAAGTTGTGGAACTGCAGTTCTATGCTGTGTCCAGCCGGCACCGAGATATGCCAGGTGCAGAGCTGGGGGAGGGCACAGGTGGGCAATTCATGACCCCTTCTGTCTCATCCTGGGCACCCAGGCTGAGCTCCAGAAGGGTCTTCTTCCCCCACTGCTGGCTGGGGAGTGGGGTCGCGCTTTCATCATTGGTGGCTCTTAAGGGCCTGGTTTCAGAGGTGAGTTGACCCAGTGTGGGCACATCTGGGTACACATCAGGCACTTACTAATATCCCCCATCCCCCGTCTGCTTGATCTGTGACCTTCCCAAGTAGAAGGTAGTGTCTATCATGCCGTTCCCATTACACTGACTTGGGTGCTCAGGTGCTTCCATGTGTGCCCCTCCCCCTCTGCATGGAGCACCGTGCTTACCTGTTGGTGAGGGTACTGCTGCAGGTAGTTGGGAGTAGAGAAAGTGCCCTGGAGCCCAGTCAGATTCCCCCCACACCCTGTAGAGAGATGAAAGGGCTTGTGAGTTTGCTAGGATCCGTGCTTCCATCCAATAGTGATTGTGGGCAGTGACTGCAGAGCAAGAGGTTTGGCCATGCCCATGGGAAGCAAGTTCTGGGCCAAAGAATGACAAAGGAGGAAATGCTGGCGGAGGCCCTGGTTTGAGGCTGGACCAGAGCTGGGGGGCCCAATTTGAACCCAGATCAGATGCCTGAAGCGAGGACCCCCCATGCCTGGCCCGTACCCGAGAACTTGGCACTGCAGTTGGTCTCATCGCTGCCGTCAGCGCAGTTGGCAAAGCCATCACACACTGAGTCAGGTAGCAGACAGATGAGCTGGTCACAGCGGAACTCATCATGGGCACAGCTCCCTGGGTGTGGGCACCAGGAGTCAGGGAGGCCCCGAGTCTCCACCCCTTTGGCAGGGCTGGGAGTGGGTGGAGGGGAAGAAAGTGGACACTCAACAGGCAGCTGGGGACACGGTGGGAACACACTCACCATGCCCAGGGGCCACAGCCTGGTACCAGGCATGGAAACCAAATCCTTCCACACTGCTGTCAGAGACGAAGGCCACCAGGAGGTGGCTGGCATTGGTGTTGAGCGTGGGGGGAGGCACCCTCCCACAAATCCTGCAAGAAGCCGGGTTGGGGGTGATGGAGGCTCCAGGAGCAGGGCCAGCTGGAGAGGAGCTTGCCTGGGCCTTGCAGTCCTATTTTCTTAACCCCCAAACTGGTCACCATGTGGTCAAAAAGTCTCCTCTGATGTCCCAGGGAGCTCTGACCTTCTTAGCATCTGCACATTTATCCTTGTAGCATTTACTCATAGGAAGATAGAAAGGAGATCCATGTTACAGACTAGGAAACAGGTCAGAGAGGGGAAGTGATCTTCCTCACGGCACACAGCAAGGTGGTGGCAGAGCTGGGCCCAGAGGTCTAGTCTCTCAGTTTCTTCCTCGGTTAGCCCTTCCCCCTGCCACTCCCTGATTCTGCTCTTTAGATAGTGGTTCAGGACACGGTGGGATGTCCTGGGGACAGAGGGACCTACCTGAGGAGGGAGCCTTCAGGCTCAGGGGAGATTTCCAAGCGATCAAAAAGGCAAGAGGCCACACTCTCTATGCTGAGGGCTTCGATTTTGAGCTGTATTGCATGGTCTGTGGCCACCTGGATGCGCCACATGCAGTGGGTGTTGGGGGGGTAAGGGTCTGGGTAGTTGGGACTGCTGAAGAAGCCCCTTGGGCCAGAGAGGAGGCCTCCACAGGCTGCGGAGATGGAGGTCAGAGTTCAGAGGTCAAAACGAGTGAGGTCCTTTATTCTCCAAGGTACCTCTTCCTCACCCTCCCCTCGCCCCCACCCCATCATCTTGGGCCCTTCTCCGGGAAGACCTGCCCTGAGTACTCACTGGCCTGTGGGGAGGGGCTCACACCTGACTCCTGCTGCCCTTTAGGGGTCCCAGCTGCCTGAGAGGTGGTGATGGTGGGGGTGGTGGTGGTGGTGGTAAGGCCTCCGGCAGGCAGTGGGCTATGGGAGGCCCCAGGTGGGGGTGCAGCCTGCAGCTCTGGAGGCGGGAAGATGGAGGGTGGCGTTCAGAGGAGCTGGATCCTGGGAGGCTGGGAGAGCGGCTGATGGAATTTCATTCCAAAGCCCTCCTTTCAAGTTGTCCCCGGGTACTTACGGGCCAGGATGATGGCCACCAGCAGCCCGAGCAGCAGGAGCAGCAGGCTGGCAAGCAGGAGGACACAGAGCCAGGAGAAACGGCAGTCTGGCCGCAGCCCTCGAGGACGCCGACCTGCGAGCCGGCAGGTGGGGTTTTGAGAGCCCCTTCTGTTGGGCATTTGTCATGCTGCCCTTGGCTCCTGGGCCTCTCTGTCCTCCCCCAGGTCACCCCCTGGGATGGTTACCGTGCCAGGGAGCTGGGACACTATAGCTGGCATCCTCTGGGAAAGCTGGGGGAGGGCAGGATGGCCCAGACTCAGGCTCGAAGGCAGGATTGCAGAACTCGGTCTGGAAGGGAGAGACTTGAGGGCTGAGGCAGTGGTGACCACTGGGGTGCTGGGTCTTAGGAGCACGATTCTATGTGGCCCTTACCTTGCTCGATTCTGTTGCCTCCACGCAGAGGATGACATCTGAGTAGTCCTTCATGGCCCAAGGCTCTGCATGGCTTTCTGGAGTCCCTGTGACAGCCCAAGACCCCCAAGGGCCCACTGTCTGACCACAAACTCCCTATCAAAGGGGCAGCCTCTACTACCCAAGGGAAAAGGTTGCCAGGCTAGACCAGCTCTTGGGCTGTCCTTGGTAGAGTGGTTTGGCCTATGGGCTACTCTGTCTCTGTGTGAGGGAAGGGATGGCAGCCAGGAAGAATTCACAAAGGCACGAAATGGTCCCTTAATCCCACTCAGCTGAGGATGCCGAGGCCAAGTCCCTGGCACAGGGTGGCCGTTCTTAAAGGCACAGGCGGTGGCTGAGAACACCCAGCAGAGGAAACTAGGTGCTCTGTGCGGGGGTGTGACGAGGGGAGCTCTCCATCCCCAGCACCCAAGGCACTGAGTGAGCACTTGGGGTGTCGCTGGGAGAGGAGAGAAGTTGCAGGCAGAAGGGAACCTTGGGTGGTCTGAGAAAGAAGCAGGGTGGAGGGGGTGGACAAAGCCAGCTGCCCACCTTTCCTCCCCACCAGGGTTACAGGGGCACTGACCAGGTCGGGTCTTTGGAAGGGCCCTGGTAGATCACCAGTGGTGGTGTGACCAGGACAAGGAGAGAAGGACATGGCGTGAGCCAGGGACTGACTGCTCATTCCTGGGACCCCTAAACCCACAGGAGAAAGGACAGGGAAGGGGGAGAAGGTGCCCAGGTCTTAGGGAGGGTTGGGGTGTGGAGTCTAGCCATCGGGGCTGTTGCACGGTAGGAAACCCACACACTGCAAACAAGATTACTGCACGCCTCTTTTTCCATGGGCGAAGTCCTCTTGGAAAATCCCAGCTTAGCCCTGCTGTCCTCAGGGAGAAAGGAAAGGGATTGGTAATCTGTTTTGTGTTAGCCATGCTTAGGCCGAGAGTTTGGCAGGGAGGGAAGTGGGGAGAGAGCCTCATATTTCTGGCTACTATTTGTAGAATGTCTGGGCAAGAGGGCTACATGCAGTTTATCTCCTTTCATAACTATAAGGTAGCGTCACCATTTTACAAATGCTGGTGCTGGGCTCTGAGAGGTTACATCACTTTCCCAAGTGATGGGAAGATACAGAGATGAGAGTTGAGCCTAGGACTAGATAGAGCTTAGGCTCACGTTTTCTATGATGTACCTCTTTCACCCCACATTGGGGCTGAGGCATGCTGGGGTAGCAGAGGGATCAGAGTGACACGGGGGCAGAGTGAGGAACCCCTTGGGGATGGAAGCAAAGAGGGCTTGGGTGACAGAGCAAGACTCTGTCTCAAAAAAAAAAAAAAAAAAAAAAAAAAAAAAAAAAAAAAAAAAAAGGGGGGGGGCCAGGTGCGGTGGCTCACGCCTGTAATCCCAGCACTTTGGGAGGCTGAGGTGGGTGGATCACCTGAGGTCAGAAGTTCAAGACCAGCTTGGCCAACATAGTGAAAGCCCATCTCTACTAAAAATACAAAAATTAGCCGGGTGTGGTGGTGAACGCCTGTATTCCTGGCTACTTAAGAGGCTCAGACAGAAGAATAGATTCTGTCTCAAAAAAAAAAAAAAAAAAAAAAAGAAAGAAAGAATGTAAGGGAGTCTTTTGAGAAGTGTGGTTCACTGGACAGAGATGAAGAGAGTTTACTGGGCCGTAAGTCCGGAGATTAAATGCTGTGTAAACTGAAGAAGCAATGGCTTCCTCTGATGGGGCCAGCAGGAGGACTTCCTGGAAGAGATGAGCCTTTAAAGTTTGAGGGTTGAAAAGGATTTGAACAGGCAGAACTTGGGGGTTGGGTAGGGAATTCCAGGAAGGAGGAGAGGCTTAGCACTGCAGCCTGAGGAACTTGGTCACAACTGGCCTGTGGGTGGGGGGACAACAGAAGGGAGGCCAAGGGAAGGCCTGGAAGACCAGGAAGTTTTTCTCTGCTTTGCTGTTGCCAACGGCCATCCTGGACTACACCCAGGACTCTGCGGGCACACGCACTCCTGCACCTGGCTGCGTTATGAAGGGGTTTCTGGAGGAAAGGAAGGAAGCCAGAGGCCAGCTCAGGGTTGGGGAGTGGCACACCTGAAACACACTGAGAGTGAAATCCACTGCAGACCCCTCAGCTCATCGCCTCATTTCACCCTTATTCCAGCCCCGACAACAAGAGGAGGGAGGTGTTTTCCTCTCATTTTCTGGATGTCACCGAGGCTCCTGGAAGTTAAATGCCTTTGCCCAGAGTTGTACAGCTGCCCAGGGGCAGGGCTGGGTTGCAGAGCTGGGACTGTTGGAGTCCTGGTTTCCACTTTTTTTGTTTTTGCTTTTTGAGACAGGGTCTTGCTGTGTCACACAGGTTGGAGTGTGATCACAACTCACAGCGGCCTCCACCTCCCAGGCTCAAGCAATCCTCCTACCTAAGCCTCCCAAGTAGCTAAGACTACATGTGTGCACCACCATGCTTGACTCACTTTGTAGAGAAGGGGGCCCCCTATGTTGCCAGGTCTCGAATTCCTGGGCTCAAGCAATTCTCCTGCCAAAACATCAGGAAATTGGAAAAGCCAATTCCTTGATTTTGGAATGCCTATTTAATGGGCATTCTGTTTAGTTTGGGCAGTGCCATACTTACCTACATCAAGTGTATTGTTCCGGAAAAGAAGGTAGAAGCATCCAGAGACATGAGAGGAACTAAATACTTGCTAAATAGGGACAATGTTGGTTAAAAAAAAAAATTTGCTGAGGATCACCCACCATGAGAATCTCAATGGAGCTTCGATGGCGTAGTCCTGGAAATGGAAGTGGGGGAAATGGACATTTGTGGAGTTGCTGAGTACCTACTATGTGCCAGACACCCATTCCTCCCCTCCCCTCCCCTCCCCCCCCCTCTCCTCCCCTCTTTCCTTTTTCCCTTTCCTTTCCTCTCTCCCCACTTCCTTCAGGGTGTGTGTGTGTGACAGGGTCTTGTTCTGTCGCTTAGGCTAGAGTGCACTGGTGTGACCATGGTTCACTGCAGCCTCAACCTCCTGGTCAATTGATCCTCCCACCTCAGCCTCCCAAGTGGCTGGTACTATGCCTGGCTAATTTTTGTACTTTTTGTAGTGACGGGGTTTCACCATGTTACCCAGGCCGGTTTCAAACTCCTGGGTGAAAGTTATCTGCCCATCCTGGCCTCCCAAAATGTTGGAATTACAGGCATGAGCCACCGTGCCTGGCCAGACACTGTTTTTCTTAACTGGCACTCACAACTCTGAATAGGTAATGTTATGCTCAGATTACAGATGAGGGAATTGAGGCTCAGAGAGATTAAGTAACTTGCTTGGGCTGTGAATGCCAGTCTCTTTCTGCTGCCTCCTGCATTCCTGCATAGGTGCTTGTTTCTGCTCTTACAGCAATGAAGGATGGGGACCCTCAGAGGTGTCCAGCTCAGACAGTCCTACTAGGGCCCAGGTAGGAGGCAGATCATGCTGGTTTTGCTGTTGGATGTGTGTGAATGTCACACTGCTGTTTGACTCACCTCCTAATAGACGCAGGCTTGGAAAATTTGCTGCAGAAAGTCCTGCAAAATGCTGTCAATTATTCAAACTAAAGGCAGAGTACTCAGATGGAAAGAGAACTGGATAGGCAGTCAAGATACCCAGGTTCCATCCTGTCTCTGCTCCTGACATGCTATGTGGCCTTGAGCAAGCCTTACTCTAGGGCTCAGTATCCTCACTGCCAAATCGAGATCATGGACAAGGTGACCTCTATGATCTAACTCTAAAGCTTTATAGAGGCCGGGCATGGTGGCTTACGTCTGTAATCCCAGCAGTTTGGGAGGTCAAGGTGGGCAGATCACCTGAGGTCAGGAGTTCGAGACCAACCTGGCCAACATGGCGAAACCCCATCTCTACTAAAAATACAAAATTAGTTGGGCATGGTGGTGCATGCCTGTAATCCCAGCTACTCGGGAGGCTGAGGCAGGAGAATCGCTTGAACCTGGGAGGTGGAGGTTGCGGGGTTGCAGTGAGCCAAGATTGCGCGACTGCACTCTCAGCCTGAGTGACAGAGTGAGACTCTATCTCAAAAAAAAAAAAAAAAAAAGAAAAAAGTATATATATACACACACACACACACACACACATATATATATACGACTTTACAGAAAGAAACAAGCATTCTGAGCATTGGTCACTTAAATAAATTCTGTAAACTGGAACCAGGGAACTAGAGCTAAGTTCCCTATCTTGAGACTTGAGCATGTATTTAGAGAAAAGTGACATAGAATGATTGATAACACGGGAGTGGAGAACTTCAAGACCCACAAGTCCCATCTCAGTAATTTGCAGATGAGGCACAGAGGCCCAGAAAGAGGGAGGTTCCTGTTCAAGGTCACACAAGAGCAGTCGAAGGGGAAGCCCCTCCCCTAGGGAGAGGCCAGCTGGATCAAGAGCAAACAATGAGGGAAGAGAGCCAAGTTGCTAGGAGGCAAAGCTTGATGGACAAAAAAACATGGGGACAGACCTGTGTGTGTTTGTGGTCTGTGTAACACTAGGACCTGTTGCCATGGGGATGAGAAAGCACCACAGATTAATTACTGAAGAGCTGGGAGCAAGGGTGGCGGGCCTGAGTGGAGCCCCTGCCCTCAATGTCACCTAGAGTCCATCTGCTCCCCAGTGGAAGACAACAAAAATTATAGGGCTGCTTCTACCTCCAGTGAAGAACTAGTCAGAGTACAGCTATTCACTTTGCTACAAGCCTAATGTTTTTATTTTGAGGGGATCCTGTTTGCCTGTGGCTTGGGGGCAATCATCAGGTTAAGATTTCCAATCACACCCTGGATCAGGCCACCCTCAGGGCAGGCCAGGGAAGTTTGGGTCCCTCAGGAAGAAATTCCAAGTTTTAAGTCACTTATTTTCAATCCCTCTTCTTCACTCTTGGGAAATGCTTAGAAAAATGCCTGTCTCCCTCCATGCGGCGGGTTTGATAGCAGCACACAGGCCTTAAGTGACAGCAGGTGCTTCTGTCTCAGCAAGGATGGAATAGTCAGGCCTTTATTTTTTAGTGTCTGGAGCAGTGGAGGCAGTGAGGAAGAATCCTCATGAAACACTCTAGGCTCACCTGGTGGAGCCTTCGGCTTCCCTACTTCTAAGACCAGCAGCAGAAATGGAAAAACTGAACAGTGCTAATGAAGAGGTGAGACCAAAGGAGACATG